GAAAATAAGTCTTTATGATAACAAATAGATTGAGTCACAAGAAAAACACATTGATTAATAGTTAACTGCCAGTCATTTTCCTTATTCATTTCTTGGGGATGTTTTTAAGTTCAAATAAATTGTAAAATACAAGAAAGAATGGCAGTAACAATTTATAGAACATGAGAACTAGAAGTGTTTATAGTTTCAGCAACTCACCTATTGCTAGCAGCTTTCTAGTATTAACCTGCTTAACACCTGAACAAAGAAGTATATCTTTGCAAAAGGGCATTTTTGTAAAGCCACCTCAAGGCTTATAATGAAACCTGAGTGGGAGGACTGCATTCACACACAGGCAAGTGGGGAATTGTCCCAGGCAGCATGCTGCTGCTGATGGTAAAACCCCAGAGCTAAAGCAGAGCCTCTTGGTTTCACATGGGACACCAGCACAGCACATCCCATGGCATTGCTGCTGTGGGGAGAGGGGAACACGGAGAGCATCAGTGAATGAACAGTGTGGAAAAACAGTGAAAGAGGTGAAGAGAGGAGAACTGGTGTCTGGCTGAGTCCTGCATTGCCTCCCTACTTGCTGCCTAGTGCTGCTATCAGAGGAGGGCACTTGTGAGAACTTGTGTTCTTACTGCTGAAGTGGCAAAAGTCAATACTGCCTTTCTTACTGCAAATTATTAGCCTGTTCTTATGGAATTCCTCGCTAAATTGCAACTCATTTTATAAATCCTAAAAAATGAGATACAGGCATTTCATCCAAAGCCATATAGCCAATGTTGGTACAATCAGGACTGTGAATTCTATCCTAACTCCATTCTCATTCACTAACATTAGAGTTCCTCATAGATGAAATAAATAAGGACCAGAGGAATGAGAAGACAAGTTTTGATTCTTATATTAAAAGAAATGCGTACGTCACTCTTTATCATATCTTCCAATCTTTGCATACAATGCATAGATTTATTTATTTCTTTATTTTGCAGGAATTTGGAATTTATTATTGTATTTTACTGCCTTATCTGAAGATTATTGGAACCTACAGTGGAAGACATTCAAATGTACAGCCTAGATATAAAAGTCCTTTCTGTCTTCTTTCTACAAACAAGTTCACCCTAGGCTGTTCCCGGTGGCAATTTGTAAATTGACTCACAGGCTCTTCCATCAGCCCTGCCATGGGGCCAGCAACCCCTGGGACAGCAAGAGACAGGTAAGAGAAGGAGTTGTTCCAGCTCTGCCAGCTTAATAGCTAGAAACGAGCCCAAAGTTTCAGACAACTTCAATAGCAGGTCTTTGCTGATCTGACTGACTTTGACAGAAATGAGCCAGGGAGCGCACAGGCAAGTTGCTGCACCACATCAGTGGTAACTTTCAGCAGCTCAGCAGTGATGAATGGCTGCAACCTCGTCCATCAACACAGCGGGAGCCACTGTCCAACACATTTTGCTCAGAAGCTGCCCAGTTCAAAACAATTTCTACAATTGATCTTTTCCCATCCAAGCTCATTTTGTGTCAAATGAGTCAAAATGCTGGCTCCTTTGAGAAGGTGCAAACCATAGCTTTGTCTTATTGAAATGTAATGTACTCTGTTGGTATAAAAGTATTCAAGCATGTGGAATTTTAAGTATTTTTTGAACTCTGTTAGCATAGCTAAAAAAATAATCCTTTCCTGTAAATCTGGCCCAAAGAATCGAGACATCCAGCTTGTAATTAATATGTGAGACACTCATAAACTGACAGAAAGTCCTAGCATTGTAAAATTGCTAATTTGCTAATTGCTGGATTGTAAAATTCTCAAAATATGAACATGCTTCAGAGACTTGTCTACAGACACCTTACAGTCATCTTTACCTCTAGTGCATGAGATGTCCAGTGACTTCAACACAGCTTAAAGGCTGACAAGATTAAGCTTAGTAAGTTTAGCCAATGGTACAAATATGAATGGAAATCAAATAAATGCAGCAAATATCAAACCTATTCACTTTAGTGAGTTACAGAAGGAGATTTGAATGGAAATTCATTCAATAAAGAACTGATGCCACAACTTGCATTTTTGTCTGGTTTGAACTTAGGACCACACCAATGAGCACAGGAGAGTTATGTTCTGCTCCACAGCACCTCTTCCTTCTGTCCCAAATACACTGTATTAGATTAATAATAGACCCTCTTGGGATCAAACACACTGCCAAATTCTGTAGTGAGAGTCTGATCCAAAACTCACCAGTCTGCAGAAATATTTCAATTGATTTCTGTGGGCTTTGAAAGAGGCCCATATTGACATCCATTCAACTTTATTGAATCAAGCCTTCCTGTGGAGCTGCAGCAGCCAATGTGGCCGTAATGATTTCAAAACCAAGCTTCAAGGCCGCTGCCAATCAAATAACATCAGACCAAGTAAATGACAGCAGAACAAATTCATTATTATTTATCTACATTTAAAAAAATGTAGTCAGTTCTGTTTTCTGAGCTCACTACTGTATTTTCCAGGTGAAGGAAACGTTCAGCTTTGATTCCTCATAGGTTTGCTAATCCGAGTCACAAATTACTTGTTTATCACTGGCCACTGAAGTAAGCATAAGGCTTGCATAAGGAAGTTTAACATGCCGCAGTTAAGAGATGCACAAAAATTAATGCAGTTAATGTAGTTTTTTTGGCTATCTGCTAGTGGCCAACATCAACTGTCTAACTCTTTTCCTGTCATTAAACTCATAGTAAAGATCTACTATCATTAATAGGAATCAAGCATGAGCTTGCTGCATAGGATTTGGCATTCTCTCTTGTCACCAGTCTGATTCCTCAATGGCTTAATGGACGACATGCTCTCTTAAAGCAGGTCACTTGAAGAAAAACTACAGCCTTTTACATCCGCTGCTTGATGCTGTGTATTTCTTACTTGCTCAAGACATTTATTTCCCCACATATGATGACATAATTTCAAGGACACTGGTTTAGGAGGAAGGGTGACTGTGTAAATATGAACATAAAAGGTAACAGTCTCCTTATGGTTTTACTGTGTTGTGGATTGGGATTCTATTCTAAGAAATAAGTTGGGAAGTCCAACAGAGAATTTACAGCCAACTCCATGGAAAATGTTCATCTATTAGAGTAAAGGAGTTTAGAAAGCATCAGCAGAAGAGAATTTCCTAAGGCATGCTTAAATACGTCTAGACGAGGATGGCATATTCTTTTATAATGCCAGAGTAAGAGATATTAACCTGGCTTTTAAAAGGGCATAAAGAAGAGTTCTGCATCTGCTGTTTTACATGAGTCTGAAAACACAGACTACTCAACAAACAAGATCTTGGGCCCAATAGTAATCGTTTCTTCTGCTTTCTTGTCTTTATTTAATGTGATCCTAAAGAAGAGCTCCCTGCAGTTCCTATTTCATTAACTTTTCAAGAACAAGATGCAAATCTTATTTCAACATCTTTCAAAATCTGCACTAGTCTGTTTCTCCTGGACAACTTGTTCAAAGCCCACAGGTATATCTATACAGTGACATACTTGATAAAAGCCTGCTCACCCACAGGGTGCCTTCGTTCCCTAACTCCTATACGTTTCATTTTGCCAAAGATAGATAATTCCTATTCCTTAAATTCAAGTATTCAAACCAAATCCCACAAAGAAAAGAAATCCCTCCTGCTATGCCATCTCATTGTTTACTGAAAATCCATCAAAAATTATGAAAATTCTTTAAGTTAAGCTATGTGTCCTTAAAGACTTGAATAACAGTGGCTCCTGCCCAGCTACACTTAGCTGATCTTACTGGCCAGAAGATGGCAAACACCTCCTTAAAATCCTGAGTCTCTTTTATAACCCATCAGAGGAGAGAGAGTAAGCATCAGCAGACACTGCTGCAGTGCAAGGATGCTACCATAAAACTACCAAAATCCATAGAAGGAATTACACTGACTACTAAGTGTCTACAGTCTGATTCGTGCTTTCAAACACTGATGATTTTGTCCCATTCAGTGTCTTTGAATCACTCAAGAAATCTTTTCTACTGCAAATAAATACTGACGGGATGACTCGAAACCTGCGACTCCTACATATTTCTCAGAGCTGATGACAGTAATAGCCAAGCCTGTGGTTATTCTTGTATAGATCCCCTCCTTCCTTCCCCACTCAGAGGCGTTCCCATTTCACTAGAATCCAGGCAAAGGTGCGTTTTCCAAGAAGCCCTGGGCTTGCTGTTTATAAACCAACCTATATTCAATCTATTATGCATGCAACTCCCGCTGGAGTATTCATAATATGACCTCCGCGTACCTGCCACGAGCCGGGATATCTCTTTGAAACCCGAAGCATCCCCCTCCCTCCCCTTTCCCTCTGCCGTGCAGTGATCAATGAAGGCACCCGCGGTCTGAGCGGTTGCAGGATCACCATTTCACATCCTTCTCAACCGGGATTTTTATTTGCGACCCGAAGCTTCTGCTCCCCCCTCCCGATAGCGGCAGGGCGGCCCGGGGCAGCCCCCCACGCACTGCCCGCTCAGCGCTGCGCAGCTCCCAGCCCCTCGTCGCTGCCTTTCTGCACTGTTTCCCCTTTCTGCGGAACGGGAAGCCCAACCTCTCCAGGTGCACCTCTTTTTGGATGGGGAAAAAAAGAAAATAATTAAAATTTGGACGCCCGTTTTAAACAAAGTGAGCGGCAGTTTTTGGACCGTGCCCGAAAAGCCGGACGGCCGCGCGAGAGAGGGAAGGCTGCCGCTCCTCCTCGCCTCCCCCGCTCGGCCCAGCCCGCTCCCCGCCGCAGACCCCCCTGCCGCGGTGCGATGCGGCCCCGCCGCCGCCCGCCCAGGCACCGCCTCCGAGCGGAGCGGAGCGCTCAGCCCGCGCCCGTGCGCGCCGCCGCGCCGAGCCCCGCCGTGCCCGGCCCGCGGCATCCCGCAGCACGCTGCGCTGCTCGGGGAAATGGCGAACTAGCGGGGATTCGGGGAGGAGGGGGGGAAGCCGACGAGCGATGGTACCTCCTTGCAGCTAAAGGTGGTGGTAGGTGGTTGCAGCGCGCGCTCGGAGCTTGACCTCGGTTTGTTTTTGGGACTGCAGGCGAGAGTGACAAATCTGATGAGCTGAAACACAGTAAAAAGCGGGAGGATTTGGGGGTAAGTAAGAGATTGCCCCAAAATCGGCAGTACTTGTTTGGGGACGGGGAGGGGGGAAGGTATCTCTGCAGAACTACTGTGGATCGGGAAATGCAATTAGCTGTGCACTGCAGCACAAGTACTTCCCTAAGTCTTGCTCGTGCGCTCACGTTGCCCTTCTACCGCCAAACCCGGGAGAAGTTTGGGTTTCTTTTTCTTTTCCTCCTTTAAATAAGTTTTAAAATATCGGCATCCTTAGCGAAGCCGGCCAGCGATGCGCACAAACCCCGGCTCCCTGCAGCCTCCACTTCTGCAGGTTGGGATTTGGATTTGAGGGGGAGGGGACGAGTGCCGGTGCCCCCCCGGCCCCGACCGCAGCCCCTCCCGGGGCCGCCGAGCTGCGCGGCCGAGGTCGGAGCGGCCCCGGGGAGCGGCAGCGGCGGGGGCAGCGCGGCCGTGGCCGGGCAGCGCTTTGCGCGGGGCAAGAACGACCCCTGCAGTCACCGGGCGGAAAGCAGCCTGGGCTCCGGGGATTGCAGAACGCTCGGCTGGAGAGCCGGCTGCGTCGCGCTCAGCTCCGCGCCGCGGAGGTGCGGTAGCGCTGGGATGGGGGGCGCAGGCGTTGCAGCGGGTATTAATCTCTTTCCGCTCGTTTTGTAGCAGCAGGAGAGGAAACCCCCTTCCTCCGTCGCCTCCCTGCCCCAGGCATGTTGGCACTGCCCCGCTGAGACGTGCAGAGTTTGGGGTTAACTCGCACCTGGCCGCCCTGGAATAGAGACGCTCCGGACCGGATCGGTTGGGGTTTGTGGTCTATGTCTTGTTGGGAAATCCGGCGGATTTTTTTCTCGCTCGTGGAGGAAGAGCCCCGTCCTGGCGGTTGGCTTCGTGGTCTTTTTTGGAGGGCGAAGGAAGGGAAGGGATCTTGCTTGAGCCGTACACAGAGAGAGCTCGGACATGTGTTGTCAGCACATCTGGGGAATACAGTCTGCAAGTCCAGGAGGAAAATTGCTGGGATCGTTCAAACTGCGATATTGATCTTTGTTATTTTTTTTCGCCGAGGGATGCACTTGGCATGAGAATCAGAGGATGGAAATTGTTTGGGAGGTGCTTTTTCTTCTGCAAGCGAATTTCATTGTCTGCATTTCAGGTACGCAACCAGCACAGAAAGGGCGGGTGTGGGTGAGAAATGCACGGCAGGGCTGCCGGGGTTTCCCTAAGCGAGGAGCAAGAGATGGATAAATGCAGATCTAAGCTGTTGAAAAATGCGTGAACAACATATTGTGAGTGGATCATGACAGAAACCATCAGCCATCAGTTCCCCCCTTATATCCAGTACCTGTTTAGTAATTACGATACACTGGTTGCAATAAATAACCACAGTGCAGTGATTAAGCAGGTGCTTCAAATTCCTAATGTATTCTGGTTGTGATAATTAATCCCAACACTGCAGTAATCTCAGTATTTCATAGCTCTGGAAGTTCTTAAACTCGGTGGCTGAGATTCCAGCTTTAGACTCCTCATTTTTAAGCTTGTGAAGATCTCTCTCTCCTCTAGTATATAGAAATCAGGTAATTTCAGTTGTCACTAGAGCTTGTCCAATTAATGAACAGGCACGGCCGGGTGTCTAGCGTAAAGGATTGGAACAATTTATTCTTGGGGAAAACACTTCCTTCTGCTGCAAAAGCCCTGGCTGCCTTGTTAATTTGTCATGTCAGTCATGCTGGAATAATTATGTTGTAGGAAGTAGTAGCGGGGAGGTGGCCAGTTTTCTAGTTCGGGACACTTCAGTGAGCCCTATGGGGATCCAGGCTGCCCATGTCTCCTGCCGTTCCGCTTCCCTGCAGGCTGCTTCTGCCCTCTGGGTGTTGCGTAAGTCCAGGAATGAGAACGTGAGCAATGCCAGCCAGTGCACTGCAGGGGGAAAGAAGGGCATCCCAGTGGGCACGGCAGAGCACGACACAGCTGTGGTGATGGAGAGGGAGCTCCAAAGCTCCCTTGGGGTCGTGCAGAGAATGGCTTGGGCCGGCCCACAGCCAGCAGAGCCTGCAGCAGCTCACCCTGGCAGTGCCTGCCCTCACTGCGCTGTCTGCAGCGTTTTCTGACTGACCCAGCCTTGCAGCCCTTGGACTGGTGACACTGGTGCTGACATATTAATACTGCCTGTATCTGACTTAAAACTTCTTTCATTCCTAAGCAAATTGTGTTGCTGTCAGCCTGTGTGGCACGTCAGTCCTTCTTTCATCCCTCCAGACTGGCACCATCTGCTACCAGGCACTCAGGTGACACCGGCAGCACCCCGAGCTGACCTTCTACTGGTGCCATTGGTGTCATCTGAATAATTCTCTCTCTTTAGAGCAGCAAAACCTGCTGCCTCTTGTCATTTAAATCTCACTCTTATCTATTTAGCTCAGCATGATATGCCACCTGTCCAGTTCTCTTCAAATCAGGCACTTCCTTAAGTACGATGGTGAGAATGGAAAAACGAAGGTTATCACTTTCTTGGCCATTCTAACAGTAATACCTTGAGACAGAACAAAGCTGTCCCATTCTCTGCAGGTCCTTATGCCATGCAGTTAGCTGCCAGCATTTCCTAATCTTCCTCCCTCCTTTTCTTGCTTTCCCAAATGAGAACCCAGCCTCCTGAAACTGACAGTGAGGTCAGTCCTGCAGGGGGTTTCTCCCCTCTCTATTTCTCTCACATTACAAAGGATTTCCATTCCTGTTTTCTTTTTCACTTTTTTTTTATTATTATTTTTTTTCTTTTAATTTTATTGTGAAGGAATATATGGAATAAGTGAATGATGGAATGCTTTTGCTGCATGGGCAAAGCTGTGGTTTCAAATAATTTGTTTTAGCCTTTTAAGCGTGTAGAGGATGAACACAAAGGCATTTAGCCTTTGGTTTTTTTTTGTTTTTTTTTCCTAAGGATCTTTATTTTTTTCAGGAATCCTCAGGATTTGTCACCTTGGTGAAAAGGATTAAGATTTGTAGATACCTGACTGACACTAATGCTATGTATCTTTTCTCTGCCATCCTTTTTACACTATGTTTTGTAGCATACTGTGCAGCTGGGGTGTCTGGATAACAGCCCAAGGGAGGGAAGGTATAACAGGCTCTCTTAAGGTTTGCCTCCATTTAACGCTGGGTTCCAGGAGCTGTGTCTGTTCAGCACTTCAGCTCTGGCCATTCATTCAACACGTTGCTGAGAAAAGCCCCGCTGTTCAAGCACAGTGCTACAAACGACCAGAATGTGAACCAAGGAATGTTGTCACAGCAGTGAAGAGACAGGACTGTGCGTGGATCTTTCCTGAACATCAGCAGAGGCTGAATTCAGTGTGCATGTCGAGCTGCACTGGCCTTCCACTAATTTCAGTGGATGTTTGGATTAGGGCCTTTTAAGGGCTGCCGTTCAAAGAGATCGTGTTAGTCATCAGACAGAACTGACTATTAAGTTAGCTTTTAAGTAATTTATCATTATTACTAAACTTATCTATTAAAGATAGGTTCAACTTATGTCACAAAATCTTTTGCTACTTATTTAATGACATTTAAATATAAAGTATGCTGAATGTAGCACCACTGCTGTTTAATTAAATAATGAAGATATACAATTGGCTTTTTGGTATCTCTCCCATTATTTTTTAAGACTTAGTTTTGGTAGGATCTTAATGCTTACTATATGGAAAATAATCTATTTAAAGGAGGCTTATACATTTTCAAAATATGATCTAACATTTTTTGTTGGTCAGTTACTCGTGTGTGTGTTACATTGCTTGGTTTAGAAGAAATGGTACTGAGATTTAGGAATATATATATATTTTAATTACTGGCCCTTATACTTGGGAAATTATTTATCTGCAAACGTTGCAAACAACATTTTAAGATCTCTTGGCATATTGAATTAAGGCTTTTGCAACTTGAAATTGTTTGAAAGGAGAATTTGTGCAGATGGAAATGAGAAATAAGAATAGACTGAAGAATGAAGAAAACAATTTGTATCTTCTAGAAAGAAATGAAAGGCCTCTCTTTCCTCTAAGTCACGATGCATATTTATTCCTTTGAGGTGTAGTCTTTGAAGAAAACTAGTCTTGATTTGTATTATGGTCTTCAAGGTTTTGAATTATGGTATAACACAAAAAGAACACAGGGTAGTCAAAATGAAGACGTCCTCCAAACAGAATGCTGAAATAAGACCCCTCTGCTTCCTTTGAAGATGCAGATCATGATGGCACAGAGACTGTACTGTTTGTATAGAAAAAGGATTATGGTTGATAGTATGACAACCAAATTTTTTCCTTTCCTGGTGAGAATATCACCTAAGATTAATCACCATCAGTGTTCTCAGCTGTAGGTTAGATGCTTTTGATCCCATAATGGCTGCCATAATTTCCTTGCATTGTCATTTGTATAAACCAGTGCATCTTTTTTTGTGATTCTAAATATTAAAAATCAATTTCAGGATAAAAAACAGGATAGTGTTTTGAAACTCTTGCAGAATATTTCATTTAAGTAAGGGAAAGATACCATAGTAGGCATTGATTAAGAAGATATCTATGTACATTTCCTATTAATCCATCAACAAAATGATTTATAGAACCTGTACGTTCAACATTCTTGGGGCTTCCTATGAATTGGTACATTACCTCTTACCTTTTTGGCTTGCAGGAACTAAAATGGATGAAATCCAAGTCTCACAGCTCTCATTATTTGAAAGCATTTTCATCTTTTGCTATCATCCTGAAGTCGTGAAGGGGCACATCCCTTCTATGATGTAATTGCTTTGGCCTATTTGGCAGAAGTCGTGTGGGTCATAAATCATGGATCATGAACAATTATGATGGTATCAAAAACGTGCTAAGTGTCAAGGAGGTATCTCCTATGTATCAAGTGCCTCCTGGCATTGAGGTCTAGGGGGGTACTTGGAGCACAGTGCATTTCATTTTCTGTCTTGCTGTTTCTGCAGTCTCTGAGCTCTTATTACCTGGGATAACACAGAGATGTCCTATAGGAACTCTAAATTATGCCAGGGCTTGAATTAATAATTGAATGATGATGCACAAGGTCTGATAACTCTTCCTTTCTTACTGTTGCACAATCTGAGGTAATTCAAGCTAGCACAAGTGGTTCTGTAGAAGAGAAGAATACCAAGGCTCTCATGTACATTAGTAGCTAACAATGAATAGCTCACTATGTTTGAACAAAAATGTTGAAACCATGTTGATTATTTGAGAATAATTATTTGAGAGATAGCTTTTTCTGGCACGTTTGTTAAGTAAGAAATGTAGTATCCTAGGGGAGGGAGTTATTCATAGCACAGATATATGTGAGAGGGAAGCAATCACTAGGCACATAGGCAGGTAGAATATGCAGCCTGGTACATCTGGTGGCTAAGATCTTCTGGCATCAAATCCACTGTAGTATTCCTTTCTGCTTTATCCTATTCCCACAGCTTCATGTGTGTGGGCAAACCTTCATGCTTGCATGGCGTTTGTTGATATTACTGAAAATCCACGTGGACTCAATCCTCCTGCTCACATTCAAACACAGGATGGAGGCCATATGTTATATCCAAAGCCTCTTCATTTCTTATCATTTGAATGCTTTCTCACTTCAGAGATGTTGCCGCCTTTTCAAAAGGTGTGAAGATGTTTCTGCTTTAAAATTCTGTGGAAATAGCCTTGTAGTCCCATATAAGTGTCTGCTTTTCTTTTTTTTTTTTGTGTGTGTGTCCTGTATTTTTCATCCTTCTATTTTTGTTGTTAGTTTTATAGCTAGAGCGTGACCAGATAGGCACTAAAGTGTAAAAACAACACACATATTTTTAGTTTATGTAAAGGTAGTCGAAGGGAACATTTATGAATAGTTTTGCACATATTATGCTGAGCTGTTTTCCATCCAGTAAACTGAAGAGAAGAAACTAGTAATCAGCTATTGTTTTACAGATCTCAACAATAAAGACACCCAGTTTTCAAAGTGGCCTGTTGGCCTTGTTGTGTTTCTCACTGGCAGTTAAAAAACTGTCCAGGCTCTTCCACTGTGCTGTCTCGAAGATACAAAAGGAAGTTATTATTGTCATAAGAGAGATGAGTGAAACACTTCATATCTGTATTTTCTGTAGTCCAGAAGTCTTTCTGGTGACACAGGCAA